AATATTGCATCATAAATTATAAAATAACTGTCAATCAATATAGGAACGACTAAACAATAATAAAAATTGTTTATACACATTTAATAACATTAATCTTAGGTTCGCCGGAAGCTGACAAGCGGAAGGCGGCAGTTATTATTTAATCATCATTAATTTATTAAGTATTATAAAAAATAGGTTATTAATCTAATAAAGGTTTTGTAATTCTCTGGGAAATTAAAATAAACTTAATTATGCGACGAGCTCGTGAACCCAGGACCGGAAGACGATAACACTACGTACAGAAGTTGCACTCCTTTGATGTCGACTGCTTACCGACGTTTAATAGCCTACATAATTATTATTAACCGGATAAATCGCACACGCTAGCTAATAAAACTTTATCGCTGCGCGCTAGTATATTACTTTGCATCTTTTTTGTCACGGCGGACTTTCCGTGGTTATTAAGGGATGTCAATAGAAAGTAAAAAAATACATTGCGAAATGTTAATTATGTTACTTAGGTGAAGTACTAACTAATACTCTGACTATGATTGACTAACCATACTTTCGCCCATATGTGAGTTCTGCGATGCCTAACGCACGCAAATTGAAACTTCATTCGTCGGGAATCGTAACGCTTGGGAGAAATAGGTAAATAGTGTAAACAACAAATAAACTTGAAATACGATTTCTAACAGAAATGTGATCTATTCTATTTAGTTAAAAATCTTGTTAGTATACAAAGTTTTAATTTCAATATTTTGTGTTATTATAACTAAAAATATTTTAATTACAAAAGACAAGTATAGGTATGTAAGTAAATACTTGGATAGTGAAGTAAATTTTAACTAATTTTTGTAATGAAGTACTTAGGTATTTCTTCTGTAGACCAAATTATTACTTAATTCTTTTTTGCTGTGAGTACCTATCCAACAAAAAAAAAAATTAAATAAATTCACCTTTCATAACTTCCTTCTAAAATTCTTCGGTAACTTAAAAAATTATATAAAACCTTTTGTTGGTCATTTCATTTAGTATCCATCTAAGCAACAGTTATAGTAGGACCGACGTTTTGCTATTATAATTTATCAAATAGGTAATATACATATTATATAATTTTTAAAATACATTAAAACTTTTACAACTATTTTTACCTACAATTAAATATAATAAACACTAAACAAAAACCATTTCAACAAGTATTTACATAAAACTATTTACGTAAACAGCGTTAAAAAAAACTCTTACATTCAATTGCCTCCAACGCGCTAGCCCTGACTGCGTTATTACGCCCGGGCGCGTCGCGATTTTAGGTAATTATTTCACGCAGGTAGCAAGAGTGATAGAGCCCTGACCATACTACTTTGCAATCGGCAAACTTTTATTTACGAAAATGGCGCTCAAAAACCTAAAAATATTAAATTCTTTGGTAATGAATTCTCATGAGAATACCGTAGAGAAATCGTTGAGTTTAAGTGAAACTCTTCCTAGCAAAACTCTTGGTTTACAGTGGGACTCAAGCACGGATAGCCTATTGTTTTCAATTGATATAAATTTAGATTTAAAAAAGGTAACTAAACGTAAAATTTTATCGCTTGTAAGTCAAATGTTTGACCCTTTAGGACTATTAGGTCCGTGCACAGTTGAAGCAAAAATTCTCATACAGCAACTTTGGTTAGACAAGCGTGGTTGGGACGATGAAGTGTCATTGGCAATAAAAAATAAGTTTTTTAGTATTATTCAATCTCTAAATTTTTAAAAACGTTTAGCATTCCACGGTGGTTTTCTTTTGACATGTCTGCGATGCACGAAATTCACTTTTTCGGATGCCTCCGAACGGGCTTATGGCGCATGTGTATATAACTATAAGAACAATTAACAATAACGGTGAGGTTTGCGTTCGTCTTTTAATCTCTAAAAACAAAGTAGCACCTTTAAAACTAGCTACTATTCCTCGTTTCGAATTATGTGCCGCATTGTTGGGTGCAAGGCTCTGCAGTAAGGTATTACAATCACTTACATGTAATTTCAATCATTCTTACTTCTGGACAGACTCGAACATCGTCCTAGATTGGCTAAAAATGTCTTCCAGCAGTCTAAAAACATTTGTTCGTAAAAGAATGGGGGAAATTCAAGACAGTACTGCTGGTAGTATGTGGAACTACATAACCTGAACCCTGCAGACCTGGTTTCTCGTGGGGTAAAAGCTGAATTCCTCATACATTCCGACATATGGTGGTCTGGGCCAAGCTTTTTACATAAAACCGAAATACCATTTCCAACACGTCTACACTCAAACATAAAATCACTTCCAGAAACATCATTAAATTTAATAACAATACACAATGCAAATAAAAATACAAATATACTTTCTAAATTAATTCACAAAATTTCAAATTATTTAAGGTTAATTAGAATAGTTGCTTATATAAATAGATTCATCCACAATTGTAAAGATCATAGTAAAAAATATTATGATGTACTATCTTTATTAGAACTTCAAAATTCGGAAAATTGCGTACTCTACATAGCACAACAAGAGATGTTCCCTTTTTTTTTTTCTTTTTTTTTGCATGGGGAAATGCCTACGCATACCCGCCTCGCGGGGGCAAGGACGGGTTATGTCGGACTCGCACCGACTAAAACCCCATGGTGTTCCACCTTTGTCGCATATTGGCAGGGCTACGGGAACACTTTCGCACACATCCGCGGCCCTACTAGCGCCTGCCGCCCCATGGCAGCACCTCCTCGGGAGAGGAAAATTCCTCCCCATTCTCCTTCCCAGGTAAGGCGCACCAGAACACATGGCGCGCCTTCCTCCACGGCCTCCAACTACGTCTGTGCAACAGACGCCCCCGCGTCCGATGCACAAAGGCCATGGGGCCAGGAAAAACGAGCACTTAGAAGTACTAGCCTTCCCGACCCCAGCGGCGGATCTGGTCTATGGCTCCGCCGCCAACCAAGATTCGGCTGCGGAGTGTAGGGAGAGCGGCGCCTCGCAATACCGACAATCCTCTCCCCCCGCAGCCCCACCACCACCGCATCAACGGTGCGGCCCCGTTTGAGTCGCGAAGGATAGGGCGAGTGGCGCATCGCCATACCAACACTCCTCTTCCTCCGCGACTCCACCTCGGCTGCAGCGGTAGAGGGTGCGCGAGTCCCCACTCGCTGCAGTCCACCAGCACACATCCAAAGTGGGCTCCCCAAGCCCACTCGGAGCGGCCACCTCAGGCCGGCCCTTCACCTCGGGCCAGCCACGTGGGTTCCTCTTTGTTCACCGTGGGAGACCAAGCCACGGCTACTAAGCCCCCCCGCCACGACAAGGCGGGAACCCGTTCGGGGGGGAAGAGATGTTCCCTGAAGAATATAAATTAATAAAGTCTGGACAATTCTTACACAAGCGTAATAAATTGACCTCATTAACGCCATTTATAGATGATAAAAACATTATGCGCGTTGGTGGACGTCTTAATAATTCACCTTATTCATACGATGTTAAATACCCCATTATTTTACATACTCGTAGTAAACATCATCTTACAAAAATCATTTTTTACAAGTGTCACTACAAGGACATGTTATACTCAGGCCCACAGTTACTGTTATCTCAAATACGACAAAAATATTGGCCACTTGGGGGAAGGAACCTCGCAAAGCGCGTAGTACGTGGTTGCGTTCGTTGCATTCGATTTAAGCCAAAATCTATCCAGCCAATCGTGGGTGATTTGGCAAGCAATCGAACTCAATTAGAGTTTCCTTTCCTTAACACAGGCATAGACTACGCAGGGCCAGTGCTGTTGGTTGACCGTATAGGTAGAGGGGTAGCAAACTTATAAAGTCTTATATATGCATTATTGTATGCTTCGCAGTCAAAGCTCTTCACCTTGAACTTGTCACAGACCTTACAAAGAAAGCCTTTTTGGCAGCACTCTATAGATTCATGTCACGTCGCGGTAAGCCTCGAACTATATATTCTGATAACGGCACGACGTTTGTAGGTGCTAGCAACGACGTCAATAATTTTTTTTTCAATTGTATTCCAAATATATTCTAACAGATATGTATAATAAAGGAATAGAATTTAAAACTATTCCTCCTTACTCTCCACACTTCGACGGCTTATGGGAGGCTGGAGCAAAATCGGTTAAGTACCATCTAAGACGCATAGTAACTTATGAGGAGATGACAACTTTGTTGATCCAAATAGATGCTATTCTGGATTCCAGACCCTTAACACCTCTACCCACTGATCCTTCCGACCTGTCCTGTCTAACACTTGCACATTTCCTCATCGGACACTCGCTTATATCAGTACCACAACCTCTGGTCATTGACACGAAAATCAATCGTCTTCAGAGATACGAGAAAATCGAAAAATTGAAGCAACATTTTTGGCAGCATTTTTCAACAGAATATGTACCACTTCTCCAACAAAAATTAAAATGGAATTATTCATCAGGTGACCTGCAACAGGGATCGATGTTCTTAGTGAAAGACAAGAACCGACCACCACTGCTTTGGCTTCTCCGCAGAGTGGTGAGGTTGCATCCAGGACGAGACAACGTCAACCGTGTAGCAGATATATTGACCAAGAAAGGGATTATCCAGCGGTCCTACAAAAACATATGTCCTCTACCGGTCACCACTTCGTCATATTGAAGTGAAATACTTCAACCCGGGCAGCATGTTGCGGCAACACCGACTAATAATCAGCGGTATAAAACAAGGCGCCAGAGGGCGCCCAGCGGCAGTCTTCTTTTAAAAAAGGTCTTACCATTTTACCAGCAAAGATATTAGCAAGTCATTATATCATTTTTTACCAGCGACCGTATTTTATTTTATTTTGTTACGTCCATTTCTAAACAGGTATTCCTAATAAATGTTGTTTTTGTCATTTTTCCAGGCTTTAGAATGTCAAGAAAAGGCATTTCCGAAGAGGATATAGTCAAGGAGACTCTTCGGAAGATGAGGAGGAAACTGATAATTATATGTTTAATGAGACTGATCTATACCTAGATATGAATTCAGTTTTAGATAGCATTCAAGGTATGACATATTCTGAGCTGTTAGAATCCTTGGAATCCTCCAGTAACAATGATTCCCCAGAAGCACCCATGTCGGTTACTGTTATCAACCGAGCAGACACAAGTAAATTTCCTGTAGATCCTTCCACAGGACCATCAGTGACAGTGTTGAACCAATCAGATGCAAATTATGAAGCTCTAGTAGATCAGCTGTCTATGCCTATTGAAAATATGGATAATGATCAAGAATATTATAGCAAGCTGTTACATCTTTACATATAATGCAAAAGAAACAGCATCAATGATCCACAAATGTGTCTAATTTTACAGGACATACATTTGAAAAGGATCTCAAATGCAGCTTCGGTTCAGCAGGTGCAGGTAGCAGGTGCACACCTATTCATTATTTCTCCAAGTTGTTTCCTGAGGAATTGCTTGAATTTACAATTGAAAACTAAAGAAATAAGTGTATTTTAGGGATATTTATGCTAATGGGATTGCATCTTTTTTGTATTGATTTCGATAATTTTATAAATCATAAGCATCATCATGCCAGAGGTTCAAGAAAGTTTTAGAAAATTTTCATGTCAGTGATATATCCCAAGCGCTTCCAAAAACTCACCCACAACATGACAAACTAGAAAAAATAAGACCTGCTTTATCCATTCTAAACCGAACCTTTCAACAATGCGCTGAAAACTCTCATCATCAATCAATCGATGAAAGTATGGTAAAGTTCAAGGGTAGAGATAGCAAAAAACAAATCATGCCATTGAAACTAGAGATGAGCCGAATATTCGTTTTATATTCGGTATTCGGCAGCTTTACCGAATATTCGTATTCAGCCGAATATTCGGCTAAATCACCGAACATTCGTTTTCATAATGTCCAATGTATTAAAATGTACGAATTGAGTAATGCGATATCTTTTACTGTTGAAATTGTATTTTATTTATGGGTTAAATCTACATAATCTAGAGTGTTTTTTGAGGCACTGTAGATATATTTCCGATTATGGCAAACAGAAATTCTATAAAATGTTTTTGGAATCAAACAAAGAATCATTACATTACATTAGTACATTTCACTTTACTTTGGTCATCAGTTTCTCTAAAATAAATCCAAATAGTAAATCTCCTGCTGCTCATTTTTATAATATAATTATCAATTTTCACTAAGAATGAAACAACGAAATACTTTTTTTATCACAAGAATAGTCAAAACATAAGCATGTGCCGGCAATTTGCTCGGTACTAGAAAAAATACTCTGTGGTACCAGATGATGCACACAGAGTACTTTTTTATATATAGGAAATGATGCTATTGCATCATTTAGCACTCAATTATTACTGTCAGGTGTGGCCGGGAGCGAGAGGCAGGGTCCGGCGCTAATCCCGCGCGCTTTACGGTAACAAGTTTTGACATAAATTGGTTGGGTTCCGAGGTTATCCTGCCGAATAATATTCGGCCGAATATTCGGTTCGGTAAAAATTTTACCGAACATTCGGCCGAATATTCGTATTCGGTGAAATCCATATTCGGCCCATCCCTAATTGAAACCCATAAAACATAGGTATAAAATTTGGTGTCATTGTGACTCAAAATCTGAATATCTCTATCAGTTTGATATCTATACAGGTAATAGAATATGTTTGCCTAAAAAAAGTTATGATTTGTTCAAAAATAAACTGTTTTGATTAGTTCATGATATTCTATTTGATATTTATTTACAGGAAAGGACAGGTCAGGGGCTCCAAGTGAAGAAGGCCTGGGATACAAAGTTGTTTTGAAACTAACTAAAAATGTACCTGCTGGCTCATTAGTTGTGTTTGATAACTTCTTCACTAGCATTCCCCTTGTAGTGTAGTGCTCCCACATTAATATACTTTAGTGTTAAGGTAGAATAATAAGGCAGTATAATTAAAGTTACAGTACCAACAACATGTTTCTCTTCATTGACACCTTTCATATATTACATGGCGACCCTGCCAGGATAACTTATCGACATTGTTACTATGTAGATATACTACTGTGACTATGCATTTTTTGCGTGCTAGATATGTCTTAGATTATAGTTTTCATAATGATATTAACCTTTTTTAGAATACTCTTAAGGATCTATTTTAAGAATTGATAAAAAAATATAGATAGCATATTTTTTTATTCTTTTGTCGGTGGGAGGTGTAGTGTAGTGCTCCCACGTTATTATACTTTAGTGTTAAGGTAGAATAATGAGGCAGTATAATTAAAGTTACAGTATCAACAACACGTCTGTCTTCATTGACACCTTTCATATATTACACCCTAATGGAGATTTTACATGAAAGAAACATTTACAGTTTTGGCACAGTGCGATTGACAGGAAAAGGAATGCCAGAAGAATTCACTTCAAAAAACCTGGGGACAGTGAAGAGGTGAAAATGAAGAAAAAAAAACTGATGAAGCTTGCTCCCGGTGTTTACTTTTCGCTACGACTCTCCAGTCGGGTGTATAAAATGGCATGATACAAAAGATGTTCATATTTTGTCAACTGCAGTATCCATCTGAAGTTTCTGTCATCAAGAGAAGGCAAAAAAAAAATGGCAAACTGAAAGACATGTTCTGCCCTACTGCAATAACTACATATACTCAATATATGGGCAGAGTTGATAAATTTTATCACTTTCACAGCTCCTATCCTATTGGAAGAAAATCAAGAAAAACATGGTTTGGGTTATTTTGGTTTATCTTTGAAAGTGCTATCTTTAATGCATACATTCTATACTGCCAAACTAGACAGGGAGACAACATCCATAGTGATTTTCGACTATGTCTGGCAAGAGCACTAATAAATGGGTTTGTAAAATTTTCTACCTGAAATAATGTCTAAATTTACTTCATAATACACATTGCAACATTTTACATATTGAAAAATTTACCTTTTCAGATATTCACAAAGAAAACATAAGCCAGGCAATTTCATTAAAAAAAAGGGTGGTGTCTTTGGAATACCCGATGAGATTCAGTTCTCAAGCCCTGGTCAGCATCACGGTAAAAAGGGCTCATATAGGAGATGACATTTTTGCATTACGAGAGAAAAAGAAGTTAGAACATACTTCGAATGAAAGATATGTCAAGTACCACTCTGCTTTGTGCCATGTTGGGAGTCGTTCCATACAGTAATAAATAATTAAATATTTTTGTCAGTAAAATGATTTATTTATTTTTATAATATTGTGACTTTATAGAAGAAAATAAGACACTTAAAAATATTTCATAATTTCAATCACATTAAAATAATGTCGCTCTACTTGGGCAATGGTAGAATAGCTCCCACATAAATTTCCAAAAAAAAACAAATTATCGACTTCAGGAACCACTAAAAACAACATACGAAAGTCTGCTGACTTCTATAACTATCCTATTTGTGATGCCCTATTAAGGGTATAACAATGTGAAGAAATTTTTTTCTTAGAAAAATATTTCATTAGAAAAGCTATAGTGGTCTAGCAGACGTCACATCTGTACTTATGTAACTAAAGCAGCATGTCGGTACTTAAAGGTTAATGCTGGTGACATCACAATATCACCTTGTCCTTTGAGATGTTGACAACTGATGACAAGTCCATTGCATTATTATAATATATATTTTTAATAATATTTAGATGTCAGTACATGATGATTTACATTATTTATTTTAATATCTTTTTCATAAAAAATTCTCTCTATTTATGCCTAAGCAGTGCAAGTGCTTTGTCGCAGCACACTGTCTCGCAGGATCACCATGTAATGTTGGAAAGGTGTCAATGAGAAGGAGACGTGTTGACCCATCTAGGACTTCCAGGCATTCCATCTTCGTCCCCATGGGTGATAACGCATCTGCATTTCGATTCGTCATCGAGGATAGATGTAGATGTCTATGGGCCACAGCAACCACTTACCATCGGGTGGACTGTGTGCTAGCTTGTCACCCTATACTATAAAAAAAAGCATGCATTTATTGTTGCCATATATTTATCTTCTCTTATTACAGCTCCAATCAATTTTTTTCTCATATGATTATCTTTGGTAACCTGTGCCCTGATGTTTTCGGTTTGTACTAAGGCACAACACAACACAGAGGCATTTACATTTCACAAAATAAACACCATAATCAGTATTTACATGGAAATAGGATTTGGGACCTACGAACTCACTAGGCACCATCTGCTTTGAGCGTTTGAGATTACCCGTAATTAGCCATAGGCTAGTATATCAATTTCTAAAATATTTATTATGCTATATAGTCCTATTGGCCTTACGTTTCTTGCTAAGCCAATACTTGGTTTTTATTTTTTTATAAATTGTATCCATGTATTCCGATGCAGTGGGATCATTTTCATAGAATAATAAAAACTCGCCTAATAATTTAGCTGCATCAAGTGCTTGTTGGATACTTGGTGGTGGTTTAGGGTCATCCATTTGGTCTTCTTCAATTTCTATTGGATTTTCTTCTTTTATCACAGATTCAAGAATTTGTTCACCTGTTTCTTCGTCGTTAATTAAACCCATATCAACATGTTGCACTTCTCCATTAGTTTTTCTGAGGCTAATTTTGTGACGCTGTAAAAAACCTCCAAGCCATCCTTCGGAGGCCTTAAAATCAGTAGACCCAAGTTGTGAAGCAATTATTTCAGCCTGAGCTTTAATATATGGCCCAGAAATAGGTACATTGTTTTGACGCTGTCCATTTAACCATGTCAGCACTGCCTGATCTAAATCACCAAATTTTGGTTTTCTTAATTTTTTATAAGATTTTCTGTCTCTTTCTGCCTCAAGTATTTTTTCTTTATTCTTCCAAATGGTTGCCACAGTTGAATGACTGAACCCAAAACGCCGTCCAACATCACATTGTTTTTCACCTTTTTCTATTGCACGGATTATAAAGACCTTCTCGTCAACGCACAAAGATTTTCTTTTGCTAACCATCTTGGCAGTTTGAAAGTAATAATCGGTAATAATGCAACTATAATATAAATAATAACTGTTAGCTTGCTACACATTTATTTATCTATGATAACTTGATAACTGTGAAAGTGTGAAATGTGATATACTTATTATACTCTTTGGAATTGGTCATAGAGTAGTGTAATATATATTATGTCACCCTTGTTCTATAAAAAAAAAATAACGATTAGTAAAGCACTACAGAGTAGCGAAAAGCAATATAGAATATTTACTTTATCACAAAAACAATGTTTATTTGCCTATATGTAACATAGGTACACTAGGAGAGGTAGGTGAGGTTAGGTAGTCGCTCCTGTTTTGTTGCTTGAATAATGGTTTGAAGTAGATTTTGATTCGTAAAAGTGATGCGATTTTGTGAATTGTCTGCGCGTGTGAACTATTAGAGAAAACGTCGAAACAAGTGGTTTGATGTTGATATAATCTCCCAAAAACTGTGACGCATCAGAATATTGTGATGAAAAAAATATACAAAAACGAAAATTACGAAAGAAATGATAGGCTCAGAAGGTCAAGACCCCAAAGCCGTAAAGCCAGTTATAAAAAAAATTGTAACACTAGTTTATCCATACTATTATAATATTATAAATGCAAAAGTGTGTTTGTTTGTTTGTTTGTCCTTCTTTCTCGTCGTAACAGAGCGTCGGCATGGCATGATTTTTTGTATGGGGATAGTTCGGTGGCTGTAGAGTGACATAGGCTAATTTTTCCTGCGGAAAAACATCTCATTCCCGTTGGAAAATAGAATATGTTGCAAAAGTTTGTCCTTCTTTCACGTCGCAACAGAGCGTCGGCATGGCATGAATTTTGGTATGGGGATAGTTCGATGGCTGTAGAGTGACATAGGCTACTTTTTTCAGCGGAAAAACATCTCAATCCCGTGGGAAAATCGAATATGTTGAAAAATTAAATGCAGCTAGGTGGCGCCACCGTGATTCTACAAGACGGACGACGGTACGACGGACGAACACAGAAGGTCAGAATATCTGAATTATTATGTCTTTTTACCAAAATTAAGATAAAAAAGTTACGGATCTGTATTTTTCCACGCAGGACCGGGAAGAGAGCGATAAAAAACATAAAATTCACCAGCTGATTTTCTTCAAACGTTTTGGTGCATTGTAATTCACGGAATAGGCGATAACCTCGCAGACGATATTAAGTAATCCGTTGATGCTCTGCCTACCCCGCAAGGGATACAGGCGTGATTATAAGTATGGATCAGAAATACTATCACCACCTGTCACGCTTTCACCCTTAACTATTACTTAACTGTGGTAGAAACAGTTCTTAGTCATCATCATCATCATATTACAGGCCTTCACAAGTCTACTGCTGAACATAGGCCTCCCCTAAGTAATGCCACAAAGCATGGTCCTGAGCCACCTGCATCCATCGACTTCCTGCATATCTTACCAGGTCGTCACTCCATCTAGTGGGGGTCGCCCTACACTACGCCTACCGGTACGAGGTTGCCACTCGAGAACCTTTCTTCACCATCGGTTATCGATTCTTCGAACTATATGGCCGGTCCATTGCCACTTCAGCTTACTAATCCGTTGGGCTATGTCGGTCACTCTGGTTTTACTGTTCTTAGTTCTTAGTAAGCCTTATTAATAAGCCTTAGTAATATTTATTGAACGGAAATGAATACAGTTTTTATATGTGGTTATGAATGAATCGGTATTACAATAAGAAAAATTGTGCAAAATTATAAGAAAAATATTTTTTGAGAGTTCTTATTAACTAACGTATACATAGTTTAAATTGATTCCACTAGATGTCGTTACTAGGTTTTTAAAACGCGGTAACGAAATGTTTCCTGACATGCTTAAATTATTACTATTTCGTAGCTTATTCGATTATCTGCTTTCGATTTCGGTTGTTTGTTATTTATTTGCTTTGTGATTTGGTTAAGGTTGAATGAATTTATATTGGCTTTCATTTTCGGATTTGTGTATTTTCTTGGATCGGTTTTGTTGATTTGGTTGGTATTCCTATGTTACATATTTAGACTCTGGCTTTGATTTTGGATTTTGTTTATTTAGAATCGTGAATTGGTTTTCGTTGTTTCAGGTTGTTCAACAATATTTCAAAGGAATATTAATAGTATAGATAGTGTATACGGTACCTATACACTTACTTCTTTTTTAGTTGGTTATATTTATAATGACTACTGCTTTCGATTTCGGTTTTCTGCTATTTGTTTTGTGATTTGGTTTAAGTTGATTCGATTTTTTTTTGGCTATAGTTTTCGGATTCGTGTTGTGTCTTGAATTGGTTTTGTTGTTTTGATTTTAAAAAATATTTAAAAGGAATATTTAATCCTTTTAGATATCGTGGATTTGCTTTTAAAAAAAATTTTAAAAGGAAATTTAATTCCTTTTAGGTGTTTTACGTTTTTCTATTAATAGGTTTTCTGTTACTTCATAATGCCTCGCAAACGTAAGTCCAGCCTTTCAAGAGTATCTTATCAAAGACCAGCGAAAAGATTAGCTCAATAGCTAGAATCTTTAGAAGATGCTGAACTGAGAAGGCAAGAACAAGCAGAGCGTCAGGCTGCTTTTAGAGCATCTGAGACACCTTGTCAACGTCAGCAAAGGCGTCTTGAACAGACAGAGCGTCAGGATGCTTTAAGAGCTTCCGAAACACCTTCTCAAAGTCAGGAAAGACGTCTTGAACAGGCAGAGCGTCAAGCTACTTTAAGAGCTTCTGAAACACCTTCTCAAAGTCAGCGAAGGCGTCTTGAACAGGCAGAGCGTCAAGCTACTTTAAGAGCTACTGAAACACCTGATCAAAGTCAGCAAAGGCGTCTTGAACAGGCAGAGCGTCAATCTACTTTAAGAGCTACTGAAACACCTGCTCAAAGTCAGCAAAGGCTATTCGAACAAGCGTAACGTCAGGCCGCCTTAAGAGCCGCGGAAACACCTGATGAACTCACCACAGACTCATTGAGCAAGCTGAACGTCAATCAATATAACGTCAATCAATACTGATTCCACACAAAGTAAATATTCGTGTTTTGACCTTTTTGATAAATACATACTAATAAGTCTTTACTTTAGTAATAGAA